ATTTTTTTGGCATATGAATACATTTTATTTATTATTTACGCAGGTTAATTGCGAGAAAGCATTTAGTAAATTAAAAATTATAAAAATAATCTGAGAGCTAATATTGACCAAGAAAAATTAGAAGCTTTTTTAATGATGTCAGTTGAACGAACAACGTAGATTGAATTAGAAGATATTCCTGTATATTTGCGCAAAGGTTCAAAGTTAATGAGAGATTTATTAACGTAAAAATTATATATTTTCTTAATTCTTTTATTAGAATCTTATTAATATTATTTACAATATGATCGGTGCCTGATTATATAAAAGTGCAATAATTATATTCTCTGTAATATTGACTGCTATAATTTTATATTTATAATTAATTGATTTAATATATTGACTATGCATTTTTTTAATATTTAACATGTGATGTATGATTTGATTTTATAGTGTAATATCGTTGTAAATCTAATATAAAATATATATTTTCAATGAATATTATTTTATATAGGTAATGAATATGATTTTAGATATGTGTATTTTTTTAAAATAAAATATATGATTATCGTATAATACTATTGTTTTTTTACTAAAAATGTAAAACGTTTGAACTTATTTTCAAAAAATAAGAAGTAATAATTATCATGTAAATCAAAGAAGCCATTTAAGGGAACCCGGTCGAAGACTGGGCGAACAAAATGGGGGTATGAGGGCTTCGCCCCCATATAAATGAGGCCGCTACAGGGCCGTAACCACTTTTTTGGCCCCCAAACCTGGTTCCCAGAAAAAATCTTTGGCCCCTACAAAAAAAATTTTTGCCCCCCCCCCCCAAATTTGAATTTTTTTTTAGAATTGATTATTTTTATATTTTTAATATAAATTTTGAATATTTATTCAAAAATATTCAAAAAACATGTCTATTTAGAATTGATTATTTTTATATTTTTAAAATAAATTTTGAATATTTATTCTACAAACATGTCTAGTTTGTAAATTTTTTTCTATCCTGTTTTATTTTTATTTTTACCCAATATTAAATTATCATTCATTCATTTTTTTTTTCATTAACTTTTGTTGTGTATAACATTCTCTATAGGTATCACATTTATATTATAATATATAACCAGTTATTTTATTTTACAGCGTTTATTTTAAAATTATGAAGAAACAATCAGTTATTAACTCTTATTTTAAGTTAAAGTTAAACAAATGTCAAGCAACATCACCTCTACAAACTACTAGTAATACTACATCTGAAATTTCAGAAACTGATTCCTCATAGTTAGTATAAATTTATATTATTTCATGACTTATATGATATTGATATAGGGCAATACCTATATAATATTATTTCATATATATTTATTATATATAAGATAAGAGACAGACATTTATTATTAATATTATCATTTTTGTATAATAATTTTAATTATTAAAATAAATATATTCACTCATATTTCAAGATATGAATGAAGCTAATAATCTAGAAAATGATCCTCACTACACTCAGAAGGAGGAAGATAGTAAATAGTATAAAATTTAACCCAAATTTTTCTATTTATATATTTTTGACAATATCAATAGGAGTAGGAGATTATGGTGTTTCATTATTACATTTTGATTTTAAAACAAATAAAGAGGAAGAAGAGACTCAATAATCTTCATCTAGCAGCTCAGTCTCTCATTGTCAAGAGGCAACTAGTAATTGATTTATAAATATAAAAATATTATATTTTTTTGTTAATCTTTAAAGATATAATGTTTATGACCGTTTTTAATACTGAATATCTATAAATTTACTGATCAACTTTACTGATAATCTTCATCAGGGTTGGGCACTACAGTATAGCAAATACTTGTATCTTAAATACAAGATAAATTTTGTGTTTGTTTATTTTCAGCATGCCCTTCCTTCGCCCATCCTGATGACCATTATTATTTATGACCCTTTCCCTCATTACAATTTATTAATTATAATATTTTTAGTGTCAAAAAAGTCCTCTAATGGTTCAATTCAAATCCCAGGTGACCTTGGCCAGAATAAACCAAATCAAATCAAATTAAACAATTACGCGAAAAAAGATATCCATGGAAGGCAAAGATCATTTCAAAAATCATGGTGTAGAGGCCGAGACTAGTTGGAGTATAGTGTAGAAGCTGACGCTGCCTTTTGTTTTCCATGTAGGAAATACTTGTGTAATCCAAGTGATGAATTTGGACAAACGGGATTCAGAAATTGGAAAGATGCGTTAGCTGCCAAGAAGGGACTGCTAAAACACGAGAGCTCAAAAGCTCATTTAAATTCAATTACAATATGGCATGATAAAAATCAAAATATAAACAAAGGTACAGAAATAACGAAAATGTTGGGAGGTGATCAAATTAATCGTAATCAATATTATATTAAATCAATATTTGATTTTCTTAGCATACAAGAGCTACCTTTCCGTGGGACTGGTTTAACCAGTGGCGTAGCTACGGGGGTAGTTATCGGGTTTGGACCCCTCCCAGAGCAAAAATTATTTTTAGATTATACGTTTAAAAGACTTAAAAGTGATTTTATATGAATTATATTTTTCTGGTTTTGATGTTTGTGGAAGGATATTATATTACTATTGAAATTATTCTGGATAGTATTATTATAAAGTCATTGAGAATAATCTACTAAATTATAATAACATATTATTGATGCATTTAAAAAATATATTTATTATATATTATCGAAGATATGATTATGATTTGTAAGATAAACCCGGCAGAAGGCCGGGCAAAAGGGCCGAAGGCCCGTTAAAGGGGTCTGGGGGCGAAGCCCCCAGCTTTTATATGTATGGACCCCCTCTAAGGAAAATATCTAGCTACGCCACTGGGTTCAACAAATATTACGGATGCTGCAAAAGATAACATAATTTATTCTTCTGGGCTATTTATAGCAATGTTTTCCTACACCACCCAAAAAGACCCTGAATTAAATAAAATTATGAAATTTATACTCCAAAATGCCCAGTATACATCACCACAGATTCAAAACGAAGTAATATCAATTATGGCAGAAATGGTGCTTGAACATATTTCAGACAAATATAATAAAAGCGAGATGCCTTTTTTTTGTCTTAAGGCTGATGAGACAAAAGATGCTTCAGGTTGTGAAAACCTGAGCATAATAATTCGCTATATTTTTCCTGGAGAAATCCAAGAAAATTTAATAGGAATCATTAATTTAGAGTGTCTTTCTGCTGAAAGCATTACAGATTGCATTTTAAAGCAACTTACTGATCTAAATATTAATTCACCAATATTTTGAAAAATTATATAATAAATTTTTACAAAACTAAGGCACTATGATGATTAAATTTTCGGATCTCTGCATTATTCTATCTCATATCAATAATATCGTCAAGGTCTCGTATATCAATCTTTGTTAAATTTATTTTAACTCTACTTTGAAAGTTGATTACTTTCTGAAATTAACAGTGTATTTCGATTCATATCTTCATATATTATTGCTAACGAAAAGTTTGACAGACTTATAACTTAGTTACACCGTTTAGTCCTGTATTCACAATCAGCTTTTTATAAGTCCTTGATCATATTCATACCATGCTGAAATAATGTCCTTGGATCTTTCTCTCCCAAACTAGCAATAATCAAGCTTTTAGCTCTTTATTCACAATCAGCTGTTTACAAGATTATAATCTAGTATACTTAGGATCCTTCCTATAGCTATATATGAAATCTAAACAATTATATTAACAACATGAATCATTCATTTATTATCATACCTACATATTTTTAAAATAACCAATTACTGTCTATTTAACCCATCATTGCCTAGATGTGCAGGATCAAAATTACAAACAATACCTCTCATAGTTTTCTTGCACATTACACATACCCTCAAACTTGTAACAAGCAATTTTGTAACATCATTTTAAATATTCATAATCCTATATACATAAATTTATCTATTTTACAATTTGATTCTTAAATTCCGACCTGAAATATTAACACAACAATCAACATATCTCAACCAAAATTCCTTCCTACCTTGTTAAATGACATGGTATTTTAATTTTTTAATCCTACCCAATATCTGACAATCCCTTTGACCTTAAACATAATAACCTAACCCTTACACGCCACCTTATATATTGCTCCACAACAATCATTAGTACAATAACATTATTGTGACTTGCTCAACAATATTGCTGCACAACAATCACAGTACAAGAACATTAATGTGGCTTGCTCAACTTACCACCAAGATTTCTTTGATTCAACCAATGATATTCCTGCACAACAATCTTTAACCTCAAATTTTAATACATATTTTTCCAAAAATATAGATTTTAAGTTAGTTTGTATTATATATTTATTTTTTTTTTTAAATATAAATTTTTATTTAAACATTACTCAATTATTCTTAATACAACAAAATTTAAATTTTTAATTTTAATTTAACTTTTATTTATATATATATTTTTTTTTTTTTTTTTTTTTTAAAAATAAATAACTTTTTTTTTTTTGAAAAATCACTCATTCATACATACCCCCTACCCTCTTCTCCCTTTTTTTATTCTTCTAAAATGGGTATGTCAAGCATTTGTAATGCCTGCCATAGAAATATAACCTTGACCCAAGCTATTTGTTTTTATAAACATGGGCCCAGGTCTAAACCATGTATAAACTCTGGTAAACCCCCTTCAAATGAAATTTTATACAACAAAATTGAAACAACCCCCATTGTAATCCAAAATTTTTATCCTGATTTTTATGATAATTTTTTAAAGTGGGAAAAGCCACCAACCTTAATCCACCTACCCCTTAAATCAAGGTCTTTAATTTCTAATTTTTTAACAACACTTATTATGGAAGTTAATTCAAATTTAAATTCCCTTAAAGCTTGGGAGAATCTTTTAACCTTTCCTTTTAAAGTCTTAATTAAACCTACAGATAAAAATAAAAAAACTATTTTACATGAATGTATAAAATATAAAATAGACCATTTTTATGATTTAGAAATGGAAAATTACGTTCCTGATGTAAGGGCAACATCTAATTTTTCCCATAAATGTAAGATTATATCAAAAAAAATAGACCAAGGGGACGTATGTGGAGCTCTTAAATTAGCCTCATCTAATGATAAATTGGCTCCATTTGATGAACATACTTTTACTTTACTAAAAGAATTGCACCCTCAGGCTTTTCCTGAAGATCTTCCCATCCCTATAAAACCTAATTTAATCGAAATAGGTAAAGAAGAACTTATTAAAACAATTTTATCTTTTAATAAAAACTCTGCAGGGGGAATTGACGGTTTTCGCCCCTCTTATTTCCAATTTTTAATTAACCCTAAAAATCCTCATAAAGATACATTTGTAAATTCATTGGTAATACTTAGTGAAAATATATTGAACAATGATTTACCCAGTCAAATTCACCAAATCCTTTTTGGCGCAAGATTAATTGCTTTTACTAAGCCTGATGGTGGAGTTCGGCCAATCGCAATAGGGTCTTTTTTTAGGAGACTATTAGCTAAGATAATCGTTGAGCGCATCAAACCTGATGCTTCAAAAATGTTCCAAACATATCAACTAGGCTTTGGTACTAAAGGGGGATGCGAAATAGCCGCTCACTCTCTTCGCATATATATCGAAGATCCTCCTCCAGACGCCGTAGTCTGTAAGCTTGATTTTAAAAATGCTTTTAATTCTTTATCCAGAAAAACATTTTTAAACATTTTTTATGAAAAATTCCCAGTTTATGCAAGATTTATTGAACAGTCTTATGGCTGTAGAACCCCTCTCAAATTCGGGGAATATACAATTCCTTCTGACGAGGGTATTCAACAAGGAGACCCTTTGGGCCCTCTGATCTTTAGTTTAGGTATACATAACCTAGTTCATTGTCTAAAATCCTCTTTTAATTTAGATTTAAACATATGGTATTTAGATGATGGTACCATTTGCGGACCTTCTAAAAATATTCTTGCAGCGATAGATTATATAGAGAAAAATTCTCTAAACATAGGCCTTACTCTAAATAAATCTAAATCGGAAATATGCTTTTTAAATTCAAATACTCTCAAAGTCCAAGGGTTTAAAATCATCAAAAAAAGTGAAATTAATCTTCTAGGTTCACCTTTAAGCAGTTTTTCCAACTGTGAGGTGTTCGTGGAAAAATTTTTCGAAGGCTTATCAGGACTCGAAACTATTTTAAACGAAATTCCTTCACACCAGAGCTTTTTTCTTTTAAAAAAATATTTATTTTTACCAAAGATAGTACATATTTATAGATCTTCTTCCTTTTTTTTAAATAATGAAATTATTAATCGTGTTCATGAATTTTTTAGAAGTTTATTAGAAAATATTTTAAATATTAAATTGGAAGATTTTAATTGGGGTTTCTCACAATTACCCTCGAAAATGGGTGGTTTAGATTTATATCCTTTAAACCTTCTATCTCTTTCCTCATTTTTGGCATCGCGTTTGATGAATAACGCCATGATATCTTCTTTTATCTCTCCTAAAGATAACCTTTTAAACTCAGCCTTGACAGCCTGGACATCTTTAGCTCCACCTGAAGCTGTCTTACCCACGATCTTAACACACCAATCTCTTTTCGAACCTTTAATTAAAAAATTTTTTAAAATAATCTCATCAAACCCCCCTTTGGAGTATATTCAACTATTACAGAATGCTGACTGTACTAGTGGCTATGAATGGTTGGAAGCATTACCAAGTCGTAACCTAGGTAACCTCTTATCAGATGAACAATTAAGAGTTGCCATAGGCCATCGACTTGGATGTAACATTGTTCAACCACATACATGCATCAAATGTAAAACATTAGTTGACTCCAAAGGGAGACATGGTCTAAATTGTATATATAGTCAAGGCAGGCATGCAAGGCATGCAGCAATTAATTTAGCTATTAGCCGTTCTCTTACCAGGGCCCGAATACTAAACATCCTGGAGCCTACAAATTTATCGTTAGATGGTGGCTTAAGACCAGATGGTTTAACTTCCGTGCCTTGGTTTTTAGGAAATCCTTAATTTGGGACTTCACATGCGTATCTTCTTTCCCAAAAAATTTAAATTCTAATCCGGTTGATATAGCCGAGAAAAAAAAACAATGAAATATTCCAAATTCACAAATTATATTTTTACACCGATTGTCATCTCTTCCCTTGGACATATGCCAAGTGGAACTTTAAAGTTTTTAAAAAATATAGGGGATAAGATAAGAGCCCTTACATCAGAACCTAAAGAATCTTATTTCTTAAAACAAAACCTACAAATCATAATTTTAAAATATAACTACACATGTTTTTTGGGAACTTGTAGTCCCACCTCGGTTTTTATATAATATTTTATTTATTTTATTTTATATTATTTTAATTTAGTATGATATATATGTAGTTATTATTGATATAATGGAAATATATTTATGAAAATAAAAGTAATATCTTGATTTAAAAAAAAAAAAAAAAAAAAAAAAATTAGCTAATATAATAAGCCAGGCATATGATGGTGCAAACGTTATGTCTGGCCGAAATGGAGGAGTGCAAACATTTCTTCAAAAAAAAATTAATAAAAATGTTCCTTTTATACATTGCTACAACCACAAGTTGCATCTTGTGGCTTAAAATTGGTATAATAATATTGTTATTATTTCTAATTTTTTTAATTTATCAAATACATTGTATAATTTTTTCAGGCGTTTTAACATATCCTGTAAATATACAGGCCACACTCTTAAGAGACTTTTAGACCAGAGGTGGACTGGTCATTTGGAAACATCTCGCATTATTTATGAGAATTTTGAGGCTATTGATGAAGTATTATTTTACTTTTCTAATAGAACTCTTAATTCAGAGGTTTCAATTCATGATTCAGTCGAAGCCTCTGGTCTTTTATCTCAATGTATTAATATAAATTACATTATATTAGCCATCATAATTTATGAGATATTAATTACAATATATCCACTAAATAAGTATCTACGATCAGTAGGTACTATTCTAGTGGATGCTAAAAATTGTATTGATTCTACTATCAATATATTAAAAAATAAAAGAAGTGATAATTCTTTTGCTTTGATTATGATTAAGGCTGAAAAACTTTTATCAAAATTTAATCTTACTCCCCAAAAATTATCACAGGTACGTAAAACGTCTAAAAATTTCCAAGATTTTTTAGTTGATAGCAAACTAGAATTCGATTGTGAAAAAGACTCCAATCGGAGTTCTTTAATAAGGATATATTATGAAATTATAGATAACTTTGTGGATCGTTTTTTAGACCGATTTACAGAAGATGATTTTAATCTTTTTTCATCTTTTAATACATTGTCCCCCCTTGACCCTGATTATTTTTTATCAGATAAAATGGCCCCATTAAAATCCCTGTTAAACTTAAATATGGAAACACTGTATCATGAAATGAAGATAGCAAAAGGATTGCTAGCTTCGGAAGCTAAAGAAAATCATAATTTTGAAAATATCTTACATATTATGTATAAAAAAAATATAATCATGCATTTAAAGAATTATATAAATGTTACTCAGCAACGATAATCATTGGGATATCAACGGCTTCTTGTGAGGCCTCGTTCTCTACATTAAAGAGAGTTTTATCGAGCAGTAGAGAGTCTATGAAGGATAAACGTAAACAAAATTTAGTATTAATGGCGTATGAAAAAAGAATAACGCAGAATTTATCTTTTAGTGCATTTATATTAAAATTTAAAAATAAAAATCGCCGTATTCTATTATAGTAATATTTTGTTTTGTATATGCATATTATAGTTTTATTTTGTTTTGTATATTCATATTATAGTATTATTTTGTTATTAAATTTTTAATAAAAATAGGAAAAAATTTATATGAATGCGTAATTATTTGTTTGATTTAAAAAAAATAGTGCCCCCCCCCCCCTCAATTAAGCACTTGGCCCCCCTAAGTGAAAATTCCTGGCTACTGCCCTGGGCCGCTATACAAAAATGCCCACGAGGCCGTAGCGTCGCCAGTCCGCCCCTGACTCTTTCTATTTAATTTAATTTTTCAGTGTATTATAACCTATGCATTTTTTCTAAGGATGGTACCTTATTGAATTAATTAAACCTTTTTATTGAGATTATCTATAACAAATCATTTAAAATATATAACATAATATTTATTTATATTCTAAAATATATATATATATATATAACATTATTATTTTAATAGCATTTCAAAAATTCACTTGCAAATTTTCTATTTCGTCCATATTGTAGTTATCTCGCTTTGAAAATAACAAAATGTTTCATAATTTGATTTCTATGTTAGTCAGTCGCCTCATTTTTGTAAATGACAATATCTTGGTGGGGTCGCGTGACAGGTTATCAATCGATTGATTTTATACATAATTTAAATTCAAATCATTCTATACGATGAACATATTGGTTAAATGGGTTTTAATAATTTTTCAACATTTGTTAATTAAATTAATTATATATCTAGATTAAACACAATAAATTTCTTAAGTTAATTTCAAGAACACAAAGATGTTCATCTTCTATTAAGCAAGTTTGTTCTATATTAAATGAAGCAATATAATATTCATGTTAAATTTATATAAAATATTTTATAGTATATTTTTTTCTGCTATATATTGATTATTTTATTTCAGTACCTTCAAAATAACAAGAAGGTTTCACCCCTCCCAATATTCCTGTAGATATCACCTTTTTTGTACTTGCATTAAATTTGATCTTTTCTAATGAGCAAAATAAATAGATCAGACCAAAGTCTCAAAAAAAGCTAATATGACTAATAAAAGATTGAGCTAATTTTTTAAAACCTTGCAAAACATTTAAACATGGGACCAAAAAAATCAGGAATTAAATATTTTGCCCAACCATTTTTGGTTCTTTTAATTGAATTTATTAAGAAAAAACTCAAATATACATGGGTATGAAAATGTATTTTTTGTTTTACTTTTTAATGTTTTTTTTTTAAAATCCATTTTGCTAATTTTTTGCTTTTGGTTTTTAACACATTTCTTCTGTTTTGCTACTTTAGGCCTTTTAAAGTACTCTTTATCATTTTTTATATATTTTCTACAGCCCTAACACAATTAATTAATCACTTTATAGATTGGAGGTTTGTTTTGGTTGATATAATTAATTTAATAGGCATTTTATATATCACCGCAAATTAACTTATGGGTTCAAAAATCAAGATAATAATGAGAAGTGGTATTTATTATTTAAAAATATTTAAGTGGTGACTAAAAAATAATAATAAATTATGACATCTATTGGTCCTATAGTTAAACCAAGTTTTTAAATAAGAACTACACCTTGGCTTGTGGTTTTTTCTTCAAATTTAAAAAATGAAAAATTAAAACCCTTAAAAGTAACAGATTTTCTTTAGCACATACCTGTAGATTTAGCCAAATTAGCTGACATTTAGCCATTACCCAATTATAGCCTGATTGAAGACAGATTGCAGACCAAAATGAAGTCCAATTTTTTTTAAAAGTACCCCAGTCTAGCCATCAGTCTTTTGATCCATATTCTAAGACATAAGACATACTAGTCTTTTCTTTTAACTGACTAGACTTAAATAAATTTTGAATGATTAAAAAATCACTTACTCTTGGGTTTAGGTAAAGTCATTTTTAGCTAAGCCCCCAAAATGTTTGTTTAATCAACTTAACACTCCGTGTTTGATTTTATTCTAAATTTTGATATAATTAAATATAATTTACTCATGGCTAGCTAGTGGTGACACCAATATGTTCTTTTTAATATATCAATTACCAATATAAAATCAAATATTGGTATTGGTTTTATATCCAATACCTTACCTACATATATTAAAAATATTGTTTTAAAAATAATATAAACCAACCCAATATTAGCCAAAAAATAGGTAAATATTAAAATCATTTTTTTTGTTATTAATTTTTATATCTTTTTTTTAATTTAAAAAAATGACAATTTAAGATACCATATTAGTTATATAAAAATAAAATATATTTTAAAAAAATAGAAAGAACTAATTTAAAAATTTAATATAAAAAATATGTTTAAAAAAACGTGAGAAGGTTCCTCTAGGTAGCACTATAGATTGAAATACTATGTGACTTAAATATTTCCATTAAAATTTATTGATTTAGGTAAAAACCTTCCTGCGGATCACTCAAAATTAAGAGCATTTTTTGGCCAAGTGCTTAGAAGAAATCCCATTCTCTGGATCCAAAATCATCGAATGTGTCCAAAAGAGTGAGGATTAAAATGATATTAGGAATGCTAATTATTTACTAATCTTTCTAATCTACACTAACACCAATGAATTGGAGCTAAAGGATGGTGCAACTTGATTAATACATGTATAATCCCAGGTTAACGGGATTCTATTGTTCCATGGATTGAGTGTCATTCCGCCAGACCTAATATTATTTCCAATTGACTATGGGTTCCCAAAGATAAATATTGACTGAGTGGAGAGTACTAGCAATAATCGAATTTACTGCTTGGTTGCATTGCGTTGCCTTTTAAGAAGCAGCAATGAATAGGCTGATGACCTAGGCTGTTGACAAGGAGCTGACAGAAGTTTTAAGTGTAGGGTGTAACAATATCATAGCCTAAACGAAGGCCTATTCCTATCTGAAGTTCTTTGTTGGATCAAGTGGGGCTAAGGATAGCCTTGAGTCAATCATAACCTGAGTTGAATTGTTAATAAATAGGGTGGAGCATTGAACATTAATTTGATTTAAATCAATATTTTTAATAAAATAAATTTGATAAATACTATTATTTTGGGATTAAATAATTTTTATATGAAAAATACTAAATTGTACTTGATTTATTTTGTCAATTTTTAACAAATAATTGTTAATTGTATAATTCTAATCTCAATGTAGTGAGAAATTATTAAATAATCTAAAAAAATAAGTAACTTGTTAAATTCAGGGCTGTGAACTCTCCTTCTAAAAAAAGAGTTTTGGTTCAGTAAAATATTTAAATTTTATAAGAAACTGAATACTATAGGTCCAAAAATATACCATAAAATAAAATTTAAGATTAAAAGCATGATCAATAATAATTACTTGTCCATAATCACTGTTATTTGATGGATGACTATAAAAATATAAGTTTTTTAACCATTAGAGGACATATTATCATTAAGGATTTTAAATTAAAAACATTTGTTTTGGCCACAAGGGCAATGGATGAAAAAAAAGTCAAAATTAAAAGTGTAGTCAATTCAATTTTAGGAGAATATACAGAAGTAGAAAATTACTTAAAATGTAGTTGTGAATGATAACGGAGCAAATCTTATAAGTGCATTCAAAGATGACGAAACGCTAGCATGTATATGCCATATACTAAATAATATTATGCATTATATTTTTGACAATTGTTTTAACTGAAATAGCCTAAATATAAATGGTGTAAAAAAATAGTACAATATTTCAAACAATCTACAGCTAATATCAAACTAAGCCATACCCTTAAACAAGATGTAATAGCCAGAATAACGAGATGGAACTTTGTATATATCATGATACAGAGTTTCTTAAAATCATATTCTGAAATATAGCTGTACTTGTTTAGCAAGCAAAATTAAAATAGATTAGCCACAATTGATATCAGTATCATACGCGAGTTAGATAAAATTTTATCAATATTTAAAGAATGCTCCGATAATCTGAGAACAGATTCTCGTCCTACAATTAATGAAGTTTTTCTATGGAAACAAAAATTAATAAAATTTTGTTAACCTTCTAAACGTGATACAATAATAATCAAAACCTTAAAATACAGAACAAGATTTCTTTTAAAAGATTATTATGCAGCCACTTCATAAGGTAGGCTAAATTCTAGATCTGAATTTCAAAAGACTTAAGTTTTTAATAAAAGAAAAAAATAATATATATAAAACAATCATAAAAATGCTAAATGATATAAAATTAGATGATATGCATAAGTCGATGTTAACTAGACATGGGTGGGGCCTAATTTTTCATTCACGACCCGCCCGCTCACGGTGGCTATAAAAAAATTCACGCCCATTCACGCTCATATCTAATTTTATATCATTTAGCATTTTTATGATTGTTTTATATATATCATTTTCTTCTTTTATTAAAAACTTAAGTCTTTTGAAATTCGGATCTAGAATTAAGCCTACTATAGTGGCTGCATAATAATCTTTTAAATGAATTCTTGTTCTGTATTTTAAGGTTTTGATTATTATTGTATCACGTTCAGAAGGTTAGTAAAATTTTATTAATTTTTGTTTCCATAGACAAACTTTATTTATTGTGGGACGAGAATCTGCTCTCAGATTATCCGAGCATTCCTTAAATATTGATAAAATTTTATCTAACTCGCGTATGATACTGATATCAATTGTGGCTAATCTATTTAATTCTTGCTTGCTAAACAAGTACACCTGTATTTCAGAATATGATTTTAAGAAACTCTGTATCATGATATATGCATAGTTCCATCTCGTTATTCTTGCTATTACATCTTGTTTAAGGGTGTGGCTAAGTTTTATATTAGCTGTAGATTGTTTGAAATATTGTACTATTTTTTTACACCATTTATATCTAAGGCTATTTCAGTTAAACAATTGTCAAAAATATGCATAATATTATTTAGTATATGGCATATACATGCTAGCGTTTCGTCATCTTTGAATGCACTTATAAGATTTGCTCCGTCATCATTCACGACTACATTTTAAGTAATTTTCTACTTCTGTATATTCTCCTAAAATTGAATTGACTACACTTTTAATTTTGACGTTTTTTTCATCCATTGCCCTTGTGGCCAAAACAAATGTTTTTAATTTAAAATCCTTAATGATAATACGTCCTCCAATGGTTAAAAAACTTAGATTTTTATAGTCATCCGTCAAATAACAGTGATTATGGACAAGTAATTATTATTGATCATGCTTTTAATCTTAAATTTTATTTTATGGTATATTTTTGGACCTATAGTATTTATGATAGTTTTTCGGTTCACAACTTTTATATTTTGTTATATATGTAACACCAACATTTATCTCTTAGCCTAGTTTTAAAATCCTTCACTTTCTGCATTTAAAGATTGAAGATCATTACAAATAAAATATAACTGACTTTTCTGTAAAAAGTTTAGGCAAAATTTAGCATAAAGTCTCGCGATAAAAAACACCTAAACATAAAAAGAAAATAGAAATAACAAAATGATACCGGATGTTGTTTATAAAATGCGGTAGATTTTTAGTTTTCATAAATTATTTTTTTTAAAAAAAGAACTAAATTAAATAAGAAAATATATAATATAATTAAAAAATTACAAATTTATAATTATAAAATTGCAAATTTATATTTATAAAAAACAATTTTAAAAATTTAAATTTGCGTGATTCACGGGAAATTTATGTCCACGCCCGATCACGCCCGGGGAAAATTTTGAGAAGGCCCGTCACGCCCAGTCACCCCTTGGGATTTTAAATTTATTCACACTCACGCCGTGACCCACCGTGACACGATGGGTCACGCGTAATTTCACTGCCTGCGCCCACCTCTAGTGAGAATAAAAGGGTTAAGATTAAACATAATTTATAAATAAATTGAATATGAAAAAACTAATTGCAACATTTGCATTTTTTTTCTCTGAGATCCAGTTCATCCTCGGTCCCTTAAATATACCACTGATTTTTTTTATTTGTTAACTATCATATTAAATGTTATTTTATCTTATTCTATATATTAAAGATGACTGTCAGGGATGCACTGAATAGTGCAATGGATGAAGAAATGGAAAGAGATAAAAATATTTTTATTCTAGGAGAAGAGGTGGCTCTATATGATGGTGCTTACAAAGTTACTAGAAATTTGTGGAAAAAATATGGTGATAAAAGAGTTATGGATACTCCAATTACTGAAGTAATTATGAAATAACTTTTATGTTAATTTAAATTCACCCGTGACTTAGTTATTTGGGGATTATATACCAGACACTTAATGTTTACTCCTAGGAAATTCAAATAATCAAAATTAGCAAAAAAGAGTAATCAGAATCAACAAAAACCATACTTTTTACCTTTTTCCATCCCTATATTCTCTTATCCTCCTTCCGTCATTTTAAATTTCAATAACGATCTTATGTCATACCCACCCTCTCCTCTCCCCATGATAGAAGTGCCTGTTATCATTACACTATATTTATTGTCTCATTATTCTATAATCAAATTATATTTAATTTTTTTAGATGGGGTTTGCAGGTATCGCTGTTGGAGCTGCCATGGTATTAAGATACTTTATGATTTTAGGTTTATTAAATTAATAAATCATCATTTTTTTTAATAAAATAATACAGGCTGGATTAAGGCCTATATGTGAATTCATGACCTTTAATTTTGCTATGCAAGCTATTGATCAAGTAATTAAACAAATTAATTATCTTATGTCCAATTTAAATATATAAAATATAGAAATAAATTTTATGTCCAAAGCTTGCCATATTTTCAAACTATTTACTTAAGTTTTTAAATTTGTGAACATATTAACATAATTATCACTAGTGATATACATCGGGCATCTTGAATGAAATTTCTAATTGTCCCTAAAAACGCGACCTGAAATAAAATTAAGTATTTGTCCGCCCAGTCCTGCTCTAATTTATTTAAATAGGGAAAAGTTAATTGTAAAAGAAAATATTAGGGCAGAAATTTTTCACTATTCGATCTTACTAAAAACTATAACCGATACCGACCCATATTTATATTGATTTCCACCATCTATATTTGAACCAATGTCATAAAAATCAATATTTTCTATTCAAAAGTAACCAAATGATTTTGTGTATTTGTTTTTTTATTCTCCAATAATTAATCATCACATTTAAAATGTCCAATGTTTATAGTTTGAATGTAGTATTGATAAACGGCTCGATTTAGTTTATTTTTAAAAATGCCTAATTACGATTTTAGCCAAAATAACTTCGCGATTTCGCCAATAGATGTCCAGACTTTTCTGTTAGCTGTGGGAAATCGGGGGTAAAACTTGTGTTAATTTAAAAATGTCTAAATATAGCCGTTTAACACTAGCCGAATGTGACTCATTAGATATGTTTAAACCTTTTAAAATAATATCAAATACTTAGCTACTCTATTTTTTAAATAATTTGATTATTTTTGGACAATTCGTTTTTTGCAAACATTAAAAATAAATTGAATTTTAGTTTTATTAATTTTTTGTTATAAAATTATGTATAAAATAATTATATTTACAATCATAACATAATACAAACTAGGGCTGTGCCGATATTAAATATCGGATCGTATCGGTGCCGATATTTAGCGTTTTCCGAAAATATCGGATTGGGCCGATACCTGTAAAAAACCGATCCGATCTTTATACTTTTCTTTTTTTGTTATTTCATTTTATGTTATGTATATTTATTTTACATTATTATAATATTTTCTAAATAATTTTTTTAAATTTTATTTCTTTTTTAAAATAGATTTATAGTATTTTAAATTTTTTTTTTATAAAAATAGAAAGGAACACACAAAGTTTTATTTATTTTAAATCTTTTTAAATAACGCCAATTTTTTTATTTATACTTTAAATAAAAGAATTTTTTTAAATATGGTATCTGAATTATGGAAATATTTTACAAAAGACAAAGATAATTTGCAAAATGCGTTATCTGCGGAATCATCTGAGTCTGCCTTCAGTACGGCAGGAGATATAGTCCATATCGTAGAAGCTTATTTACAGAAAATCTAGAGGCTCTCATATTTATTAAAAAAATCTAATATATTATAATTTTATATATTAAATATTACAATTTTATAATTCCAACATAAAATGGATATATTATTAAATATCTATTTTTTTATTATAGTCTTAATTGTAGAAATAAAAAAATTAAATTATTCATAATTCGATTTTTTGCATAAAAAATATTGATTTCTTAATTACATTTGGTTCAAACGAAGGTGATTAAAAATCAGTAAAAATATCGGATCGGTTTTAAAGCAATATCGGAAAATATCGGATCGGATCGCTGAAATGTGGATCGGCACAGCCCTAATACAAACGTTAAAATATATTGGATTGGTTTGAAATAAATATCCACTTCTATTCGATTTTAATGTCTGCCTGCACAGACCCTAAAAAATATTCTACGAATAAGAAACCTTCTTGTTATTTTTACAAAATTGAATTATTTTATATTTAAAAAACCAGGTCCAATTTTTTTAAAAAAATATTAGGCTCGACCCAGTTCAAAATTTTTTAAAACAGGCCTGGTTGGGATTTGCAGATTTTTAATTGTCGTATACAAATTTAAAAAATATTTTTTAATAATTTTTGCATTTAATTGTATTCACCTATTTTAACTGGACATAGAATGCTAAGCCTGAAATAGGTCCACATTTTTTATTTCTTGAAAATATCCACTTAAATGATAATATTTTTTGACATTTGGATTTAAGGACTACAAACTGTTTTAATAAAAATGAATCTTCTATTATTTTAAGTGGGAGACAAGTTTTAATTAAGAATTGTATACAACGCTAAGCGGGTCCCAGGTTGCACTGCATTTGAGCCTTCTAAAACAATTTAACTTCAAGGTAATTAACAGATTTAAAAAAATAATGATAACGTTAATTAGTATATTTATCGGTTTGGTATATGGCAGAATACTCAAGTTCTGATGAATCAAGTCTTATGGTGGTAAAATATTCTTGAATTACTAAAATCCTAATATTATATTTATGAATTGTTTGAACCATTGTTTTAAGCTATTTCAGAGAATACATTAATTACTATAAAACTAGTTAATTATTTAAAAATTTTCTTAAAGTAAGGTAGTAGATGCGTAGCGAGCAGAGAGGGGAAGTGGGTGGCAACCCCTCCATAGACAAAAATTCAAATTATTTATGGAAATAATTTAAGAAATATATAAGTTTTTAATTTAAAAAAAATATTAAAGTGTCTGAGGGTCAAATTATTTTCAAAATTAAATCTTGGCGTGAAATATTAATTATAGCAGATAATCTTGCATTCGCAAGCATACTTTAAAATATATAGTTTTTTACAAATATATTAAAATTATTGTATATTTTAGCAACCATATAAATAAGAGAACTTTTTATTCATTACAAATTATCAAAGCCTATCTCAGAAGTATGGAAAACTATAATTAGAAAAAATTTTAATTTGGGTAAAAACGGGAAACAACGGGATATTTTCTTTTAAAAAAATTTCAGTTAATTTGTTCGTTTTCTTTGTTTGAAGATGAAAACGATTCCAGATCAGAGCTTGAACATATATTTAGAAATTATAAAGCAGAATAAATCTCTTGTAGGAAATTATAGATTGAAAAATTTATGAAAAATCGGAAGATATTTTGTTGTCGGGACGTACATTTCGATGCTCATAATTAATTTATAAATGTTATAAACCAATTTGGATACCTAGAATTAGATGTTGTGAGAGTAATGGAAAACTTATAGAAATATCGCTGGCTAGTCTCTGGCAGGAACGTCATTTGTAGATCCAATAACTTGGTGAAAAGTTCAAATACTTTTTTATATTTTAGTAATAAACAACCTCACTATCTTTCTATTTAAATTTAAAATTGTGTTATTCAATATTTTATTAAGTTTATATTTAAATCATTATATATAAAATTTTTATCAGCGCCTGGTGCAGCACTCGAAAGAATTTAGTTCTTAATTAGATTTAAAAATTGATAAGCAAAAAAATGCAGAAGTTGCTGTTCCCATAAACTACAGATTTGCTCTTATAAAAACTAGTTTTTTGCTTATCAATTTTTTAAATCTAATTAAGAACTAAATTCTTTCGAGTGCTGCACCAGGCGCTGATAAAAATTTTTTATATAATGATTTAAATATAAACTTATTAAAATATTGAATAACACAATTTTAAATTTAAATAGAAAGATAGTGAGGTTGTTTATTACTAAAATATAAAAAAGTATTTGAACTTTTCACCAAGTTATTGGATCTACAAATGACGTTCCTGCCAGAGACTAGCCAGCGATATTTCTATAAGTTTTCCATTACTCTCACAACATCTAATTCTAGGTATCCAAATTGGTTTATAACATTTATAAATTAATTATGAGCATCGAAATGTACGTCCCGACAACAAAATATCTTCCGATTTTTCATAAATTTTTCAATCTATAATTTCCTACAAGAGATTTATTCTGCTTTATAATTTCTAAATATCTTCGTGATATGAATAAATGCCTGAGGAACTTCAGATAAAGTGATTTATCTGCTTCTAATATTTCTATTTGTGTGATGTATAGTTATATAATAATTTAAAAATCCTTCATTATCAAATAGCTTTTCTCTATCAGTAAAAATATTAAATTGCCATTTCCTGCAAAATATATTTTATTTTTTGTAATCATCAAAACTCCTAACTAGTTGGGCTAGGCAACTAATAAAAATAATTCTAATTAATGAATAATTTGAGCTATTTTACTTTTCTTTTACTAATTAAATAGTATATTCTAATGAGAAATATAAATACTCTTGAAATGGAAATAGGAAATATGAGAAACGAATGCGATATGTCACTCTATGAAATATTTATTCTTATTATATATGAAAATGTCGAGTTTTTCGGCTTCCGGGTTTTATAGGAAGAAAATTTCTCCACCTATAAAGGATTAATAATAATATTTTCGAAGTTTAGCGAAAAATATTATAGTAACCGTGCCTCATAAAATTTTATATAAATTTTGTCATTTAGTCGTCATAGAAAATTTATCAACTCGGTTGTCACTATTCCTGATCATAATCAAGGATACACCATTTAAATTTATGAGATTGAAGTCAACTGTCCGATTATCTTGTTTTATTTATGATAATATATAAGTTTAGAAATAAATAGTAAGTTATGCTAATCAGATATTGACTTATTAAAAATTGAAAAAGATACTGAATGAAGGCTATCCATTCCATCCTTACCAGATCAATGTTGCCAGACAATGTTCCAGGTGATATACACGACTTTTTTTATAAAAAGTATTAAGAGAAATGCTGGGTGCTGGTTATAAATGTGCTGGCTTGTTTATCTGTGGAGTTGCTTGTGAGAAAATGTTGTAATTGATTATATGTTCAGCATAAAAATTACCATTATGAAAAATATGTTGAGATAGTTTCGATATTTTAAAGGAAATAGGGAGGCAGATTCGATGAAGAAATTTATATGAGGCTAGTGGTTGGGACTCACTCTTATGCAAGATCTAAGAATAATTGAATGAATGATGGCGTGAATGATACTAGCGGGGTCGTTGGGTATGCATTGAATCGTGAAAGATAAAGGAAGGTTTTTGGGGCAGCCAGTCTACCCACTTAAATCTGGTTAAGGTCTTTAAACCGTTTATAATAGAAATTTAAACTCCTAATGAATTATAGAAAAACGATGATGAATATGATTTTAAAATATTTGATTTTCTTAATTCCAAAACATGTAACATAACTACGAATAGATAATAAACTCCGCAGCCAAGAGTCATTACATGTCAGCAGGCATAGTGAAAGCTCCAATAGTTTTTCGCGGCCCCAATGGTCCTGCATCTGGCGTAGCCGCTCAACACTCGCATTGTTATTCCTCTTGGTATTCTAGTTGTCCTGGTCTAATTGTACTTGCCCCTTATTCTTCCCAAGATGCGCGTGGTTTACTCAAAACAGCTATAAGGGATAATAACCCAGGTTAAATATCTCACTTCTTCCTTTAAACTTTATCAATGTACAAATTTGAAAAAGGTCTTTTATTAATATATTTTAGTATATTTACACAGGCCATGGATTTTCACATAGGAAGGTTGAGCACGGTTTATTTCGAAATTTTTATATTTGGTCTAGGCTAAAGTTACTTGCACAGAGTTTAGATCCATTTTATTCTACCCGACGCCGGGTTTGTGCTTGATCAAAAAAAAATTGGGCCAGCCTTGATCTTAAAAAAAATATAAAATAATATTTTGTCTTATTTTATTAAAATAAAATGTTGAATAAAATTTTTCTTGGATTAATACAAAGCAAATAGTCATTTTTTAGCTATAAAAATGCGTTTAATTAATATTTTTAAATCAAAAATTTCAGGCCTGGCTTGGGCCTAGAAAAATGCAATTTAGAATTTGATTAGAATTTCACAATTTTAACTTGGCTTTTATTTCTATTTGTAATTGCGAATGTTTGTTAATTTTAGTTGTGTTTTTGGAAAACGAGTTGTTATATGGCACAAGTTTCCCAATGACTCCAGATACCCTATCTTCGAATTTTATTATACCAATTGGCAAGGGGAAATATGAAAAAAGAGGTATATTTATGTATAATTCCCGTTAATATACATAAATTTCTTTTATTTAAGTTTTAACTGGAATAACAAATCATGACTAATAAAAAATATAGATTACTGTTATTTTAATATTTATAATATATTTTTAAACTGTCACAAGGAATACTAAAATATAGCGTATAAAAAAATTTCATTAATAACTTGTATTGCTGAGTATTCGCAACAAGACGCCTTTAAAATTTTTAAAATTTTAGAAGTAATATGAATATAGATTCGGTTCTTAAAAAAATAATATTTGAACCTTTATTTTCCTTACGCACAAACTTTATATTTAAAAAAAATTGAATAAATACATAAACAAAACAACCAACGTTTATTTTATTATTGCAAATATACTATGCCTATTCGAATTTATTTGGACACGATTTTTTTTCAGAGATGTATTATTACCACCTTTTTAGTCGAAGATTAATCGTATTCTTTGAGGGTCTATTGCTAGTGCTAAACTTGTAAAAAAAAGAGTTAATACAAAGTTATATTTCTTCCATTTTATTTCATAAAAAAAAATCTTTGTATGCTCCAATTTTTGCACACCAACCTTCATTTATTTTTTAACCTAATATCCATTTCATAATCATAAATGTCTCATATTTTGATTCCATATTTCTACAAGTTAGATAAATTTAGTTTTTTATGAAATAATTTAGAAAAAAAATGTTTATAGAAAATGACAGCAAAATATTAATTTTTTTATGAAATATTTTATTTCATAAATTTTATTTAATTCGTTATTTATCAAATAGAGAATTAAAATCCTTATGGAATTTTAATAAATGACCAAAATATGAGGGTGTAAGTGTTGGAGGTAGGTGGCAGTGGAATTTGGGCGCAAAAAATGGTAAAATATAAAGTTTATTCACTAATATAACTTTAAAAAACATATAAATATTTATAATTATAAAATTATCCCCAGGTCGATAGCATCTTACACTTTTCATGTTTGTATTTCATAGAAAATGTTTACTCAGTTATTCTTTAATTTATTTAGTTAAAAGTCATGAAATATAATTTAAGGTAATAATACACAGAATGTCTTTACAATTAAAGCATAAATACAAACAAGGTCTTTTAATCTAAAAAATTATAATTAGTATAATATAGTGCTATAAACATTTCTAAAAAAATGGAACGCGTTCAACATTTATGCGTTCACGTTCAAGGTACACCTTAAAAAAAGAACTTTATGAATAAATTTTTTTCTAAATTTCATTTAATATATAAATAAATAACATAAATTTTTTAACAATATATTTAGCTATGTTCAAAATTAATTAGTTTTAAGTCAATAAAAAAATATAAAACTTTTATGTATAATATAAAATTTTAATACTTTAAATTGTGTTCTATTATTAAAATATAAACTATTGATTTCAAATAATTACACTAAAAATAAGGAAAAGCCCCAAAGTAAACTAAAATATAATTATTTTGCTTTGATTTCTCTTTAATTATTTTTGGTGTTAAAAACAAGTCAAAACATTTTTATGGAGTTTGCCTCTTTCCCATATCCTTAAGCTCCTGGCAGATAAATAAATAAATTTTCTTGACTAATTCTTATTCTTTGATTATGAAAATCTTTTTCCCATTTAGTAACCTTGTTTTAGCAAATAGCCAATCATCTAATTCAGAAGTGTATCATAATCACTATCATAAAATCTTCATCATTATTAATTACATTGTCATAATACTTCTAATATGATATTACATCTTAAATAATTTTATATTCAATTTTAAAACATGAATAATTTATATACTACAAAATTAACAATTATATTTTGAAGTTTTAATTGCAGTGGCTTAGCCAGGATTTTCTCACCCAAATCTCCCATTTTTTATGAATACTCAATTGCTTATATCTTAGGCTATTTTAAATTTATTTTAAATATTTGCATATAAGATATAACAAAATTTTAGAGAGTATTTCATTATAGATTTTATTTATTATATTAAAATACTTTAGTAGCATAAATTTCCTTTATAATTATTTATCTATTTTTATCATTTAAAATAAATTTTAAAATGTAGTTTAAAAATTTTATTGTATAAAAAATTACATAAAATATAAATAATTCTTATGCAAATATTGGTATTTAAAAAAAATATGAAAATATTTTTAAAATATAAACAATACATTGCATTTGCACTTTGATTAAAAATAGTATTTGCATAAATTTTAAGAATATGTTTAAAACTAATATAATCATATTGCAATTTTTGATTAATTTATAAAGAGAGGTTTAATTCATAAGAGGAATAAAAAATAGTAGATTAAAATAATTTTATTTAAAAAAAACAGCCTCCCCCATGCCTATGCCACTGTTTAATTAATTTACTGTTTCTTAAGTTTTAAATTTTAAATATTTTTTCTTTCAGCTGCTAATGTATCATTGATCTGGAATTTCAGGAAGGATGGTAAGCTTGGATTTTATATGATATATATAATTTTAAAAAGATTCAAAGATCAATTAGAAAATCTTGATGGAAGAATGGTGAAGGACATAGTCAATCCTCAAATAGTTCTAGATCTACATCAATATATGATCAAACTGATGTTAATGTTAGGCGGAAAAATTCGTTATGAATTATTATCTGCATGATTCTAAAACATAAACAGCTAGATGTAAAATATGTAATGTAGAAATAATGTGCAAGAAAAAAACTACCTCAGCACCAATTAATCATAATAAAAGGTTTCATCAAAAAATTTAAAATAATAATACGATAAAATACTATTTAAATGATATATCGAAAACAAATGCTGATGATATTAAACATTATTTATTAAAATCTTTACTCAAGTTAAATATACCATTTAAAATTCTCGCCACACAGGAATTCAAGTCATTGGTTAGAGCTTTGAATCCTGACATAAAAATTCAATATACTCTCAATTAATAAAGAATTCAATAAAGTTAAAATAATTATAAATAATTCAAAGTGTCAAATTAACTTTATTACTGACATATGGTCAAGCCCCACTAATGTACCATTTTTAGGGTTGACCTGCCACTTTATTGATAAAAATGGAAGATGAAGTCATTGTTATTAGATATAGTTCCATTTACTGATTCACATTCTGGTGAAAATATATATAGAGAGTTTTCTCAAATTATAAAAAATTATAAAATCGACATATGTAAGTGTAACATAGCAATTACATGTGATAATGCTAGCTCTAATTCGACTTTCATAAAAATTCTTCATATAACCCAACTTGTAAAATTTTACATATACGATGTTTTGCACACGTACTCATTTTAGTAGTACAAGAAATACTTAAGAAAGTAAACAGGCAATTATCAAAATTAAGAACAATCAAAGATTATTCGCAATTCTTTTACAAAGACAAATATTATGCAAAATGTATACTCCTCCCTACTTCCCCCTATAAAATATTTAAAATTAAAATTAGACACATCCATCAGATGGAATAGCTCTTATTTATTGGTCAAAAGAGCTATTAAAATGAGAAGGGCTATTGATGAAGTTGTGACTCAGATATATGATGATATATCTGATATCGAAGAAAGAAAACTGAGCGAAGTAATTTAATTTTATTTACTAATTTTATTTTTTACCAGGATGATTGGACGACTTTAATATATATACAAAACAGATTAAGACCTTTTTTGTTTACCGAACATATCTGTAGTGACACATATCGTACTTTAAATCTTGTCATTCCTTTTTATGTTTCTTTAATGGAACATTTAAATTCATTTGACCACGATTTTATAAACCCTATCAGTGCTGTTGACAAAATAGAAAATTATTATAACTTAACAAATATTGAAATAATATCAATCATATTAGATCCTAGACTAAAAGTGTAATTTTTTGAACAATTACCTGCGTCATATAATATCAACAAATCTATTACAAAAATTTAAGGGTATATATATATAATGACAAGAAAATAAAATATAATATCTATACAACAGTTAACCCAATAGTACTATCAAATATGGATAGAATTTATCATCTCATCTATATGTGAGGTTATACATATCTTAATGAATTAAGAATCACTTCTAATAAGAGCCCGCTAGAATGGTGGAGGTTGTATGGGGATCGTTTTCTCGTTTTGTAGAAAATGGTAACTGATATATTGTCCATTCAGAGAACTTCGGCTTCATGTGAGAGGTTATTCTCAATATGGACAAATATGTTAATAAAGAATAGAATGTCTTTGAAAGAAGAACTCATTAGAAAGACTATGCTTAAAAAATTGTTATTATCAAATTCGGATATAGCATAATTATATTTTTTCTGTATTATATTTTGATGTTTATAAAATGAGATCATTGTACATTTTTAGAAAATTTGAATATTTTGAAGAAATAATTTAGATATTTTTATAAGCAATTCTCATTCTAAAAATGGGATATTTTTGGCCTATTTGTTTGGATAAAGTTATATGAAATCATTGGGTTTTATTTCGTTTATTTTCTGTAGATTTTGATATGGTAATGACAATTAGTTTAGAGAATCCTTATAAAAGTGCCATTTTTAAAACATCCACATCTGTGTATGATTTTTTTTTGCAAAAAATTATATATGTAAGATTTATAAAAATTTTCGAAACGAATCGAATACGAATAATAGTATTATTCGATTCGTTTTTTGTAGGCCTACGTCCAGCCTCACACTAGTGTCAAAAGTAATACTCCAGTAGATTTGAAAGGCAGACACGGCCTGAATTGTTTATATAGTCAAGGTGCGGGTTCGGTTTAAAGTAAGTTCAGGGACGTATTTTTGAACCTGAGTTTGGTTCCGGGTTTAAGAATTTTTGAATTGATAAAAAAAATCTATATTTAAATCATAATTAAAAACTGGACATAAATTTGGTATAAAAAATAATTTTTTATTTTATTTATAGGTAAAATATAGTTAAAAATACAAAGCATAGTCATGTATATCAATTTTAAATATTTTATTTAGACGTATTACTTCCAAGAGTGTTCACTCATCCTCGATCTATGTGTTCAAAGAATGAATTTCAATTGTGAAAAAGATCTTTCAACGCTAACCTATATTAAATATTTTTAGATGAAAATATCATAAATTAACTAGGTTTGCAGGAACAGCAAATATGATTTTGGATAAAATATATAAATCAGGGTGCTCCAGCTTAGCAAACTCCCAAAAATGCAAAATATTTTCCTTCTTATCTAATCTTTTAAAATCGCTAAATCTCGGTAATTATAGTTCCAATACTTTTCTCTGCAATCGTTGGCCCTCTTTTAAGTATCATCTCCTGCCTTTCTTTGAATTGTATCAATTTCTCTAGATCATCTTATTGATCAATAACTTCATCGGAACTCATCAGATAAAATCGGCGTTGTTATGCTTTTAATCCGACTCCATAAATTGACAAGATGCCTTTTCGCACAAATCTTATCTGTAATATTTAAGGATTTATACAGATTAATTTAAATAAATGGCTATTTCATAAAATAACAATTTTAATATAAATCCAAAATAATTAATTTACTAAGCTTATAATTAACCTTGTATCTTGGGTCCAGTATATGGCAGCTAAGAGAATTTCATTCTTTATAAACCTTTCTTCTTTGTTCTTAGGACAAGAATATAGTAATTGAGAAAAATGGTTTGAATTTTTTATAGTTCAATGCAGCATCTTAACCATTCTGTGTAAAAAATCTGTCAATGTTAACTGTTCAGATTGGAATCGTTTGGTTGCATTTTTAGTGGTTTTAAAATTTCAACAATCGTTATTATCTCTTTCCAATCTTCAGTTAGTAACAGATTGCTCTGAAAAGAAATCTTCGTTTTAGTAAAATCTCTAACATATTGTTTAATGCCATCGGTGGCAATCTAACACAGGCTTAGGGAGTTTCATATTTTTCAATAACTTTTGATAAATGGGATGTCTTAATTTTAAATTTAAGCTCTTAGCTTTTGCAAGAGTATCCACAATGGGTGATAATTTTATTGCATCAGTACAAGCTGAAACGTACACTATAAATCGGATAGGATAAAATATTTGATAAAAAAATATTAATTTCTACTTTGACTTGTTTTTCATTTTCCTCTAATTAATAATCTTTGAGAATAAATTAAAAAAAAATTTTAAAAATGGCGTTAATGAATTAAGTTGATTAAAATTTATTAGCACTTCACTTAATTGGAAATGAAATTATATAATCTCAATTAAATTATTAATATTTGTATTTACAATTATACAAATATCTTAATATATGATTTTAAACAATACATTGAACCCAGGTTCAAATAAAATTCCCAGGTCAGTTTGGGGTTTTGAAAATTTTATAAACGGGGTTCAGGTTCGGTTCGGGTACAGATTTTTCTAAAAACCTGGGCTTGACGGTTTGAATCCCAAGTCAAGGGAAACATCAACGCCACATTTAATAAATGATCTAATAAATGTTTGAAAGCCGCTCACATACCTAACCATCTTCAGTCCTCCAACCTATCCCCGCAGATGGATTTAGATCTCGGTAAATCTTTAATATGGGATTTTACTTATGCATCATTTCCTTAAAAGGTACAAAAATCTCAACAATTATAATTTGCTCCAATAGTCATCTCCACTAACTGCCATTTTTTGCCTAAAACTTGAAAAATATAGATCTTAGGCCTCAATATTAGACATTACCAACGAGGCTAGGAAATTCCTTTTTATCCGACAAAAAATATAACTTGAAATATTCCGACATAACTACGGCTCCTTTTGGTAACGCAAATAGTCGATATTTTTAATTAATTATAATATATATTATTTTATATATATTTTTATTTTTATGACTTTTGAAATAATTTTGTTTAAATAAAGAATGATTATAAAAAAAATAATATCATGATAAAATTCAAGAAGAATGTATTAATATAAAGAACTTTTATGGTTGTTTTGAATTTAAAATTGCTTAATTGTTATATTTCTTTTCATATTTATTAGAAAAATTTTTAAAGTAACGTTTTGCATTACCGTTACTCGAAAAATGGAAACGCGTTACTCGTTTCCTTGCGAATGGCGTTTCTTTTCCTTTAAAAAGATAACGCCGCTAGTAGTGATGTTACTTTACAGCACTAGCGATAATTTCTTATCCATTCTGTTTTTATTGTTTTATTACCAATTCGGCGAAAGGAAAAATTATAATTATTATAACATGATGTATCACGCGGTGTCTTTTAGATTACATTAATAAAACTAACGATAAATAAAATAAAAGAGATTTTAAAATCTGGTTCTATTTTGAAAAATTAGGTGCTTATATAGTTATTAAAGAAAGGTATTGCAGAACTTAAAGCATCTAGCTAATGACGCGCATGTTCAACATTGTTAACTGACCCTTTAAAGGTTTAGGCTTGGGTGACACCATTTTTAACAGTTGGTTGCTGTAAAAAATGAAGATTAATCCCGGTAGTTTAAATCCTTGATATTTATATACTTTTTATTTTTTCATTATTCAAACATTTGATAATAAATATTAAGGTGAACACGTGACCCTAGTGGCATTTTCTAAATCTGTGGAAACTTGTATTGAAGCTGCAGACAAATTAAGCAAAGAAAATATAAATTGCGAAGTATAAATAAAATATCTTTTAACTAATAATTTAAATAAAGTATTACAAATTGTAAACATAGTTAGCGAGTCACAATTTTTTATATATTATAATATATATTTTCAGGTAATAAATTTAAGATCACTTAGACCTTTAGACATGGAGATTATTATAGAGTCCGTCATGAAAACTCATCATCTTATCACTGTAGAAATTGCTTTTCCTCAATGTGGAATTGGTTCGGAAATTTGTGCAAGAATTGTTGAAAGTTTGTATATATTCTTAACATAGAAAGATATCCATTTATAGGGCTCGGCAACCGAGAAAAATTATATTTTTAATTAGGTTTTCAAAAAATGATACTAACCTCGAAAATGCATTTAATGAAGGTCAGCTAGGCCCGGGTTAAGTAAGAGACCGACTGATGTGTTGAAAAATTAAATACTAGATTCCATTTGGTTTCTAAACTTGATCTGAAATCAGGTGACAATTATTTTAAAAATATTTTCGATTATAGAGCCATCATTATTTTGATTTTTGTTCAATGATGAAAGATTTAAGTTTTGGGGGTTTTCAGGAAGTGCTTTTTTGTTTTACTTTTGATTAAACAAAATTTTTACGTTTGGTTTAAGTCTATACTTTTGGTCTTTATAAAATAATAATTTACTTTATTATGCATAACCATATCAGGCAATGCTTTTAATTATTTGGACGCGCCGATATATAGATTGACCAATGTGGACGTTCCATTACCTTATGCTAAAAATTTAGAGACAAAAGCACAACCCCAAGTTCATGATATTATCAAAGCAATCAAAAAATCACTTAATTTGACTCACTAACTTTTCTAATATAGTTTATAGCAAAAGCATTTAACAGTTTTTATATTAATGTAAATTATTAAATGTATAATTTATGAGTATGAAAACAATTAAAAATAACACATCAATCATACCTTTACCGAATTTGACTAAATATCGTCAATTAAATATTATATAGAAATAATTAAATGATTTATTGATTTTTTTAAAGCTAACATTGGTGTTAAATAATATATTATATTTAATAATATTGTGAAAATGGATGATCTAGAGTAAATTTTTGTATAAATTGCTTTAGTTTAGACTATATATTCTGAGTCATTACAAAATGTGCAAATTAAAAATTGAATATAATAAAATTTCCAATAAAATATTGGTAGTTTCTATTAGTGCTGTAAGCGTTACTTCAAATAAGAAACGCGTTATCGTTACTCGTTATCTTGTGAAAAAAAGGGAACGCGCTTTGCTGGTTATTCAGAAAGTAACGCGTTACTTGAAAAATTAAATATTATATACGAAAATTTTCTATATATAATTTAAATAAAAACCCTCGATATCACTACGTTTACGCTTTCACTCTGTTTCACAGAGAACAAGACTTGTCACATTTGAGATTCTATTATATTAAGGGCTAAAAATTGTTAGGATAAAAATATTTAGTAAGCTACCGAGTTAATAAAAATACTAGGTATATTATTTATACTAAAATATATGTGTATATTTCATTTTGTCAATTAAAATAATTATATATGTCAATATATAATAAACAATTCTAGGTGATTTTGTACTTGTAATATAAAAATTCTAGGTGATTTTGTACTTGTAATATAACAATTCTAGGCGATTTTATACTTGTATAATATTTCTCATAAGAAATGGAATAATTTGTTGCGTATAATAAAATTTATTTGTATGAAGTTATGTTTGTTTTTATAAAGTAAACTATTAATATTAATTTCAGATTTACTTAAAAATTTCCTAGAAGATATAAACGAGATTCCCAATTTATAACGATTTTTTTTTTCGCGATTTAGAACCTTTTCCCTATTTTGATCACCGCAATCACCACATAAGGAAATGAATTTTCTGCATGGTTCGCGGCGACATTTTTTATAAGTTTCTTCCAAAAAAACATATATCAAAGACTTGCAGAGTTAATTCGGAACGGGAGGCTAGGGTTAAAGATTTAAAAACTAGGGCCTGGCATAAAAAGAGAAAAAATTAGAAATCCTGGACGATCAATTAATCAGTTTGAAAATGTTAGGAAAAAATCGTATGATGGGGTGTTTAATTTTCATATAGTGTTCATTTTAATTTCCCTTTGAAACAATTTGCAAAACAGTGCCAAAATTTTACTAATTTAATAAATAACAAAAATCCAGGCTAAGCCTAAAATCGATTTAGGTCTTTTAAATACTATATATAGTTAATTTTACATATTTTGCCGGGAACACATTCCCCTCCCCATCTTTCCCCAATAATTTATATGTTAGTTGAAGTAATAATAACATGCTTAATCCCATTTTGAAATTCAAAAAATATTGCTCATAAAGAATGAATTTATTTAGTCTTCCTTACATACTTTTGATTGGAAAATTTAAATAAAGGGTATATCGTATATCATTAAATTATTTTTCTGGTATCCAATAAATATTTAATTTTTTATTTAAATTTTATATATTGGGAAAAATAAAGAGTCTAACTGATTTGTTGTTATCAATATTTTTTTAGTAATTTTTTCACCAAGATTATATTTAAATTAAATCATTGGCTTCTAAATTTTTTAAAAATTATAACTCGTAACACCCCAACTCCAACGTTAATTATATATCTAATAATAATTAACAATATTAAATTTATTTTAAATCTTGGAAAGATGTTCCATAAATCGCTATGTTTTTGCTTTTTAAAGAAAGGCATTAAAAGGTTATTAAGAGTTTAGTTACGCATTTGTTAGGAGGTTACATTGAGAAAGCAATAGTTAAGAGTTTAGTTACCCATTTGTTGGGTGGTTACATTGAGAAAGCAATAGAGTTTACCCATTTGTTGGGCTGTTAAATTGAGAAAGCAATAGAGTTTAGTTACCCATTTGTTGGGCGGTTATTTTGAGAAAGCAATAGTTAAGAGTTTAGTTACCCATTTGTTGGGCTGTTACATTGATAAAACAATAGTTGAGATTATTTGTTGGGCGTTAAGTTAAAAGGACAAATTATACGGAAATGCTGCCCAAATTTTGGCCAGTAAAAACTTGTTATACATAAGTGCAGCCCAAATTTTATATATAAATCTATTAGATGAAAATTTACCCAAATTTTAGTAAATAAGCCAGTTACAAGGAAGTGCTGATCAAATTTTGTTAAGCATAAATCTGTTAGAAGAAATTTACAAGGATTTTGTTGTATATTAACCTATTAAGTGTGCATGTATATGTGCATCATTAGCTTATTTACGCTACTTATAATATCTTACTTGTTGCCATTACAAATAACCAAGATTTTTATTTTGATCATAAATTTTTTATAACGCCAGGCAGGGGCTTCGCTAGCCTTTACAATCTCAGGGGGCTCAACTAAAATTTTTTTTATGGGGGGCGCCCGCTTTTGCCCGGTCTTCGGCCGGGTTTTATAATAATATACTTATTTATAATTTGTTAACTGAACAATTATTCTAAATTTCATATTTTGTCATTTATTATATTATGCATACAAAATAAACTGCCATATAAATAATTAAAACAATACAAGACATTTCTAAAAATAATATTTTTTAATACAAAATCTATTACAGTATAAAATATTTTCGATTGCTGATATAAAAAAAATTTGCGTCTAAAGAACTACAAGTGATAAAAAAGATTAATTAATTCATACATATGCCTCAATAATAATGGTTTTTAAAAACCACGAATGCAATAATATAATTCTTAGCAACTTACATTGACAAAAGGTTATCAAACTAATATAACTCTGTTACCATTTTAGACAATGTTTTATAGAATAGACTAATAAGGAAAAATTTATAGGCCTAACCAAATCAACAATTCTTGAAGAAGAGAATATAAACGACCAATCCAAATCATAAAACTATATGGTGGTTAGAGCTTCCTTTTAGATAACATGATGGAAGCTAGATAAGTATTCGAGAAAATTATTGTGAGATATATTAAATTTCTAAAAGATTATCTTCCATTTTAAATGATATATAAACGACTACACAGTTGACCACTATTGTTTATCTAAAATATGCAATCATATGCTCTCAGTCGTTGTAGTAATAATCTTAAATTACATAGCAACACATATAATAGAAGCTGGTTAATTTGCAGTAATAGTCATGACACTCACGATGTAAACTAATATCAGAATTTATTATGTTGGATAAATTGATAAAATAAAAACACTAAAAATCTTTGGAAGAAATAATTATGCAAATATATTGAAGCCTGGAGTTATTTACACGGCAATGCCATATTAGAAATGAAATATTTACTAACACTAAAAAAGGACCAGAATTATATGATGAAATAAATAAGATTTTATATATTGTCGCACCACCTTGATATATTATATCTTAAATAACAGTATTAGTAATAATATCAAAAAATATACTTGTATTAAAAATTTAACTCAAAACTCTTTTTCGAAAAAGAAAAAAATAACTTTCCTAAAAACACGTAAAAAAAGAGAAGAAAAGATATCAAATTTATTACATCTATAGCAGGATGAATAATAAAATGTTTAATTTATAAAATTATTTATAACTAAATGGATGGTCATAAATACTTGAATGCAAATTGTTACTATATTTATTATTGATATTTTCTAGGAAGGCAGGTGATCAAAAAGTAAAATATTTATTTAATTTTATTTAATTTATCATTTTATAAAAATTACAACTCTCTCATATTTACAATTTTTACAGCTATATATATATATTATTATTTTAGTACCATTTGCATATTAACGTTTACGAAAATTAATATATTTTAAAAAGTCATTAAAAAAAGAAAAGATTTCAAAAGGTCATAAATTACAAAGTAAAAAATATTCAAATTATATATTAACAATTATCAAAATCATTTATTAGTAAAATTTATTATAATATTAACTGAATATATTATATAACTGTCAAATACGTCTATAAAAGTGGCATTTTATCTAATATTTTATAAACAACTCGGCTCGAAATTTTTTTTAAAAAAGTTTGCCGGCCCGACACGAACCCGAAATATTTTTAATTTGCCGGGTCGGGCCAGCTCGAACCCGTTTTTTTTGTTTTACCTGCCCGGCCTGAATTTATTTAAATATAGAAATTAATTTTTATAATTACTCAAAATATATGATATATGTTATATGACATCTAGTTTCTATAATTAAATTAATTTTTATTTTACTTTAAAAATTCAACATAAAATCGATAAATTTAGATATATTAAAAAAAATTCCAACCGACAAGACCCGGCCCAGATTTTTAAAAAATATTAGGCCCAGCCCAGATCAAATTTTTTAAAAATATTAGACCCGGGCCTGTGCAGCCCAAACCCGATTTCTTTTTAAAAAGATTGGCCCGAGCTCGGCCCGAACTCCTTTCGGGGCTGGGTATGGGTAGGATTCACTTTTGCAGATCTCTAATATGAATATCACATCTTAGGATACCAGAATGCTTGGTTAGAGCTTTTTTTATATTTAGGTGTAAATTCATGTGAAAAACCTAAAATTTATTAAAAAATGATAGGTTTCTTTGACATTTAATTATGAGTAGGTTTAGAATCGATAAATATTAGAAAACTTGTATGACACATATTGTTGGCGTTATTGATCAAAATCTTCTCATTATAGGTTTACATATGTATATTTAGGTGCTAAGCATTATCCTAAAAAATATATATTTTGAAAATATTATTATTTGACCGAATGCCGAGCTAAAAACTGATCATTTACTAAATATTCGATTGACCAAATTTGCTAGTAATATATATTGGAAAATGTTCATTTTTGTTTTATTCATCTATAAATAAGTGCAAAACATTATCCCAAAAAATATTTTAAAAATATCGTGATTTGACCGATAACCGATTTGAAATCGGCCCAATGACACTGCATTACTGGCGTTATCCATGGTAAATTTTTAATTTTTGGTTTATACGTGTACATCTACGTAATAAGCATAATCCTAAAAAATATTTGAAAATATGATGATTTGGCCGAATGCTGAGCTCAAAACCGACCACTTACTAAATATTCGATAGACAAAATATG